AAATTAACGTAGATATATGACCGAACCTAACCAACCCTACCTAACCTAACCTAACCTATCTTTATAGGTTAGGTTAGGTTAGGTAGCCGAAAACGTTAGGTTAGGTTAGGTTGTCGAAAAAACATTAATTCATGAAAACTAGGCTTATTAGGCAAATCGGGCCTTGCATAGTAGGCTGAGAAGTGAGTTCTGGCTACTAGGTACGACATATATATATATATATATAAAATGTAGGTCAGTGGAGGGATCCCGCGAGAGGTGTCAACAGGAAACACAACTACATTTTAATGGCATTCCCTCTCCTTGATGGAAAAAAAATAGTTAAACATAAAATAGAATTTCAAAAGCAGAGGATAACTGTCCCCATATCTAATATTTATACTTCACTTAAATATTAACGATAAATGCAAGAGTACACCATGGGCATAAATGCAGATAGAATTGAACAAATCCACAAGGGCCGTGATGAGGGTTCAAACCCACGTCCGCGAGGATCACGGCCCCTGTGGATTTGTTCATTTGATTCATCAGGCTATTGTGATTTGTGTGTAATGCAGATAGAATTAAGTGGGATAAGTGGTGGGCTGAGTGGATGTAGGTGGGGTGAGAGGTAAGGGGTTGGCGGTGTGGGCGGTTCGCCTAATTATCCAAAGCTTCCTAACATTATGTAAGTAATGAAAAACTACGATATATTTACTCACTATAATGTTCGTGCTAAATGTAGAACATGACAAAAACATAGAACATGACAAAAACATATAACATGACAAAAACATATTTTTACTCTGAAAAAAAATATCCTTTTATAACGAAATTAGACGAAACTAAGTGGCAGGTGACGCCACAGGAAGTCGACGATCCAAGCGACAATGTTGTGGCTTTGGGGGGTAATTAGATGGACCCAATTTCGTTATAAAATGATATTATTTCAGAGTAAAAATATGTTTTTTCATGTTCTACATTTAGCACCAACATTATAGTGAGTAAATATATCATAGTTCTTCATTACTTACGTAATGCTAAATGTGTTTGCAGGGGTTGAGTATTAGCTCTCTAGCCCACCTTTCCAACCACTGATCAGTTAACCCAATAATGTATTACTGATGTATCTTGTATTTCTTTATGGGGTTAGCCTCGGTGGTGTGTTGCTGGTGGTACAGCCGGCGTCCTAACGTTTCCCACCGTCAAGAAACTGTCATGCTAAAATGCCTTCCCCTAACCTACCAGCCCAACCACTTGGGCTGGACGATACAGCGACGGTCTCGATTCATGCAGGTCGGCGTTCAATCCCCGATTGTCCAAGTGGTTGTGCACCACTCCTCCCCCCACCCCTCCGTCCCATCCCAGATCCTTATTCTGATCCCTTCCCAATGCTATATAGTAGCAAACTCCATTCCTAACACACCAGAGGACCCAAAACAGAAAACGGGACAGTATGCCAATTTCGCGAGCCGCTTCCATTTTCTAGTACGACGATTGTTGGGCTTAGATTATACGACAAAATGCGACATTCTATTAAGAGGACGGGTTGCGTAGTGAAGGTCAGTGGGTGGGCGACGTGAGTGTTGATGGGTGGGTGGTGTAAACTATTTGTATATTAAACAATATAATGAAAACTTATTAAAACAGAACAAAGCCAGACATACAGCTTAGTTATAGCTCTCATAAGTCTACACAGTTATAGCTCTCATAAGGCTACACAGTTATAGCTCTCATAAGGCTACACAGTTATAGCTCTCATAAGGCTACACAGTTATAGCTCTCATAAGGCTACACAGTTATAGCTCTCATAAGGCTACACAGTTATAGCTCTCATAAGGCTACACAGTTATAGCTCTCATAAGGCTACACAGTTATAGCTCTCATAAGTCTACACAGTTATAGCTCTCATAAGGCTACACAGTTATAGCTCTCATAAGGCTACACAGTTATAGCTCTCATAAGGCTACACAGTTATAGCCCTCATAAGGCTACACAGTTATAGCTCTCATAAGGCTACACAGTTATAGCCCTCATAAGGCTACACAGTTATAGCTCTCATAAGGCTACACAGTTATAGCTCTCATAAGGCTACACAGTTATAGCTCTCATAAGGCTACACAGTTATAGCTCTCATAAGGCTACACAGTTATAGCTCTCATAAGGCTACACAGTTATAGCTCTCATAAGGCTACACAGTTATAGCTCTCATAAGGCTACACAGTTATAGCTCTCATAAGGCTACACAGTTATAGCTCTCATAAGGCTACACAGTTATAGCTCTCATAAGGCTACACAGTTATAGCTCTCATAAGGCTACACAGCAATATATAAAAAAGGAGCTCAGTTTTATAACGATACATCAATGTGGTTAGGTTTCAAGACCTCGCCCGGAAGCCGATGGGCTACACTGCCCGATTTCAATAGGAAGTAATTTTTGTTTCTCTCTCTCTTGCGTCATGCACTAGTGATTTAGGTTTCCAGTGAGCATTATGAGGCGTTCCCAGATGTCTCCATGGCG